GTGATCTCTGGCATCTTTTCTATCACCAAGGCCATATTTTCCAACTACTGATCCTTCTTTGTTTCCAACTTTCCCATTTCAATCACCAGTAATTATCAATGCATCTTGATTGCATGTTTGATCAATTTCAGACTGCAGAAGTTGCTGAAAATCTTCTTCATCTTTGGCCTTAGTGGTTGGTGCGTAAAGTTGAATAATAGTTGTATTAACTGGTCTTCCTTGTAGGCGCATGTATGTTATCACTGACAGCACTGGTTGGACTTCAGGACAGATCGTGAAATATTCTTTTTCACGATGAACATGATGCCATTCCTCTTCAATTTGTCATTCCCGGAATAGCAGACCAAATGAATGATTCAAAATGGCCAATACTAGTCCATTTTAGCTCACTAATGCCTAGGAGGATGTTTATGTGTTCCCTCTCATTTTTGATGACCTCCTATTTTCCTAGATTCATACTTTGTACATTCCACGTTCCAATTATTAATGGATGTTTGCAGCTATTTCTTCTCATTTTGAACGAAGGTCTCGAAAGCTTGAGTCCATCCACATCATTAAGGTCAACTCTAGTTTGAGGAGGCAGCTCTTCCCCAGTCGTACTTTGAATGTCTTCCAACCTATATCCGACAATGTTCCACTGCTATTCAAAACATTCTCACTGGCCAATTTTTTCAGAAGTAGTCTGCCATGTCCTTCCTCCTAGTCTGGCTTAGCCTGGAAGCTCCTCTGAAACGTGTCCACTGAGGATGACCCTACTGGTATTTGACATACCAGTGGTAAAGCTTCCAGTATCACAGCAACACGCAAGCCACCAGAGTAAGACAAACTGACAAACACATGGTAGTGGAATTACCATATGACCCAACAATTACACTCCTAGGTATTTACACTCCAAAATATTGAAAGTAGGAACTCAAATAGATGCTTGTACACCAAGGTTTATTGCAGCATTAATCACAGTAGTCAACAAGTGGGAACAAACCAAGTGTCCATTAACAGATGAACGAATAAACAAAATGCAGTACATACATACAGTGGGACATTGCTCAGCCATAAAGAGAAATGAAGCTCTGATACACACAACAACATGAATAAACCTTGAAAACATTAAGTGAAATACATCAGACACAAAAGGACAAATATCTTATGATTCCATTTCTATGAAATAGACAAATGCATAGAGACCAAAGTATATTAGTGGTTATCAGGGGCTGAGGAGAGGGGGTAATAGAGAGTTATTAAGGGGTATTGAGGATCTGTTTTGAGGAGCCCTGGTGGCACAGTGGTTAAAATGCTCGGCTGCTCACCAAAAGGTCAGCGATTCAAACCCACCAGACGCTCCGAGGGAGAAAAATGTGGCAGTCTGCTTCTGTAAAGATTTACAGCCTTGGACACACTATGGGGCAGTTCTACCCTGTCCTATAGGGTGACTATGAGTCAGAACCAACTCAACAGCAGTGGGCTTTTCTGGAGGTTCTGTTTGGGATAATGAGAAACTTTTGGAAATAGTGGTGAATGTTGCACATTGTGAATGTAATTAGTCACTGAATTGTACACTTAAAATAGTTAAAATGGCAAATTTTATATTGTTATGTGATGCAATAAATATATACGTATACATACATCCACAATAAAGTTTTAAAAAGAATCAACTCAATAGAACCAATGTGGTACTCTAAAATACAATGTAGTTGCATCGGTTCATTCAAACATTCTTGGTACATTCAGTAGTTGTGGGCAGACAGTAAGGCCATGCAGGCAAAGTGGCTGCTTTCCCATCATGAGTCTCACTTCCCACCATCTTCGTTGTACTAACTGCACACCCTAGGGAGGCAGTTCCCTTGGTGACTTTCATCCTGCTCTATCATTAATCAGAAGATGCAGGTCTGTAGAATTAATCTTATAGCTAGAGGGAAAGGAATGTTCTGACACTACCCAACTGAGAGCAGGGAACCACAAGATGGTTATGCACTCTGATCACAGGACGGCCATGCCGTGCGCACCTCACCCCAGTCACAGGATGGCTGTGTCGTGTGTGCCTGAACAAAATCGCCTTCCCAGTCACGGGACGGCCGTGCCATGTGCGCCTCAACAAAGGTGCCTTCTCCTTCCCCTCTTCTGCCTTTTGCCATGCACTCCAGCACATATACCTCTTCAGTCTAGGGTCTATAAGCCCAAGGCCACTGGCCCCCTTGTCCTTCACCTATAACACAATGAGGGGCATGCACAGAAGAGGCCTCTTTGTCATCTCACCCAGGGACAAGGACCTAACAGGAGACTGGTCTGAGAAGACTCTTGCCCTGTCCTCTTTGTCCTGATTGCTGTGTAAGTACTAAAGCTCGTGCTCACACCACTGGGTAATGTCATTACTTCACTAGATTTCACAGCCCCTCATGAGCTTGCTTTCATTTTTCATCCTCAGCGAATTGCAGGCCATATGCTGCTACCATGATAACTTTTTAATTACCAAGTCTTCCAAAGTTTAATATATTTTAAATGATAGTACAATTAATCATGCCAATGTTTAATTAATTATGCATGATACCAGGTTTGTTTTTAAGTTGTATTACTGCCCCATAGTTAAAATGACAAACTGAACGAAAACCACAAAGCTGCCAATAAGAGTATCTGTGGGTAGCGGAAAAAGCGGGGGAGGGGGGTAAGTTGGGAGATATCCTTTCTTCCCATGAAGTAACAGTAAGCCTACTTGGGGAATTTATTATATTTAAGTTTCTTAAGAAGGAGACACGAGACAATCTTGCTGACAAAGAGGGAAGTTTCAAATCTCACACACACACACACACACACACACACACACACACACACACACACACGACAACCAAGTCCCCAGGCTTCTTCCATTCCATGCCAAAAGACACTGCCCCAGGGAGCCACTGCTCCTACCTAGCATCACTTGCCTCAGACATGTTAGGACCGAAGAGACCCAGCATCCTGGGGTGTCTACAAGTTACCACTGCTCCTGACAGAGCTGGTTATGTGGGCTCAAGCGTCTTCTCAACCAACCAAAGATGAACTGCCTGCTTCATTTTCTCTTCTAGACTTTGATGCCTGGCTCTTTGCAGACACTTATACTTCAGCCCCTTGGCTCCATTTCTTTACGCCACTCCCGCCGCTGAGTTAAGCATAGCTTAAGCATCATTTTAAGACTGATCATCAAACAATTTGTGAACACCTAGTCTAACGGAGAAAAAATAGCGACTACTTTTGAGATAGATGTTAGTACTGTATTTATTCAGCCCCATGTAAGTTTCATTTATTTTCAGAAGGTTAACTGTTATCTGAAACTTTTTTGCTAGATTCAATTTCCCACTGATTCTAAGTTTTTTAATTTAATTAATTTACCGACAAAGTAAGTTCTGTAATTCATGAAATATATTGTTAGACAGCTTGGCTACAAAATTACTGTATATGCGTACAATTACTAACAACTATGTTCTACCATGTAAATGTATGTTATGAACTTTAACAAGATTTGTACCTGAGGACTACACCTCTGTGCAGGGTGTGCTACTTCACATGGATGCTGATGGAAAATGTGACCACAGTGAGGTAGACACCCTCCTGATGAGTGTATGCTCTCACAGACTACAATGGTCCGTGCTCACAGACACACAGGTATAGGGCAGAAACTGCCTGCCATCAGGGTTCTGAAATGAGAAGCTATACTTCAACAACAAATCACTGACAAAGACATTTTATTACTTACAGGTCCTGGGGGGAACACAGCACACCTGAAGGCCACACGTGAAGGTTCGTGGGCAGATTGGGAGCGAGAAATGGTAGATCTGGGACACAGCCTTGACTAGGGCCTGAGGGTAGGGTACACAGAGTTTCGTGGGCTAAGCTTTCACTGGGTCACTTGAAGGTGGCTGGCAGGCACAGGGGTTGGCTGAGCATGGGTCACGGTCTCGGTGGGGGTAAAAAAAAGAAACCAGCAAGGGCTTGAGGGTCTACTGTTTGTTGTCTAGGCCAACAAGAGGGCAGATCAGCTCGTGTCAGGGTGACTTGTAAACATCCAGACATTGTTTGTGCAGGCCTCTAAGTTGACCAAACTTAGGCCATCAACAAAATAGAGTCGAACAAACTTATGACAAAGCCAACCTGCTTTCTGAAAGAGAAAGGGGTGCACTTATAACTGAGAACCAGGAACCGCAAGTAACACTGGGTCCCACTGGGGGAGTGAGTTGCACTCGATCACAGATTGTGATCAGATATAAGGAAAAGTGGCTGGAAAACACAGCTCTATTTTGTAGGTGTAGAAATAGCACCAAAGGACACTTGGACATTTTAAAAATCTTTTATTCTAGGAGGTACTCAAATAACACCTTAAAAAAAGTCTGAGTCCTCTTTGCAAGGTTTTTAACTTAGCCAACAGTTTCTAAATAGCTATATATTTCCTCCCCTCCAAAAAAAAGTTTTATTTATTTAATAAAGGGTAGCCACTATTTGAATGGCTCACCAATGGGCTAAGGTAAAGGTACATAGCATAAACATTACAGAACAAGAACACATCTTTTCAAATAAGTCAGAAGTTCAAGATAACATTGTTTCATTACTCAGGACACAGTCTATAACTTCTCCCATTTTCTTCTCAGTACATAAACTGTTGGAGTACACAGACTCAGATGAAAGAACACATTTAGTATAAAACCTTTTTTTTTTTTGTGATTTCCAATCCATGTAGGATACTTTACAGCTCCAATTAAATAAGAAAAATTAACTTCAAGTTTACTTGCCTAAAACTGTAACTTAAAAGGGGGAAAACACATCACATAGGTGCTAATGTTGGTGTGAGGTGGGGGAAGGCAGAGCCCACAGACGTGTCAAACAGACTTCAGGATAGTTCACATGGACTACACAGAGACAAATACAACAAGATGTTAAAATAATTCAACCAGATGCTATTCAAGCTATCTATGTGTCAGATACACATAGTGAAAAAGTAACCTGGGACATTTCTACAAATGGATTTAAGATTCATGTTCTTCAAAATACCTGTAATGCAAAAACCGTCAAGAACCTTTGTGAAAACTGCTGGTGGGCCATGCCAGGCACCTAATAGCACACCACTCCGTTAACTGAGCTCCACCGCACCCAAGAGGTGCATAGCCCCAAGCTGGGAATAGAAACAGACAGACATATAAGGCACCAGCAGCCTCAAACTGTTTTCCTGCTCCTCAGATTTATTCCTCCAAAACAGTCCATAATGCATGATTACTCACACTGAGCCAAAATAGTGAATTAGCTAGTCTGCAGGTGTCCAAGTTAGGTCACTTCCAAACACACAACAAAATTACTCTGGATGTGAGAATGATAAAAAAAAAAAATTAAGAGCATAACATGTGGAAACAGAAAGCAGCTTCAGGCTGCCTGCATTTCTTACTGACAGACCACAATAATTTACCGAGTGACAACAGAAGGTGCACTTCCGAGGATGAACATTTTCATGTATGTTTGCTTTAAAGAGTAATTAGGCAAGGAAACCCTCCTAAGAGTGTGACCTTCTGTTGTAGTTGCAACCGATGCTAAGACAGATGAGTGTGCCGTGGTCTGGAGGGACTAACACACCCACCATGTGAGTACACACCCACGTGTCACACTCCCTTGCACTGGCTCTTCCTCCCCTTTCTTCCTCCTGGCCTCCTCTTCCTTCTTCCCTCTTGTAACTCAGACTTACCAATAAGCAACCAAGGATCTGGTGACACCAGGGATGAAGAGACTGTCAGCCTCTAACCAGTCCCAGGAACATTCTTGTTTTTAAAGGGTTTGGCTCCACAAGAAGACGAAAATGCTGGTCCAAAGGGTGAAGAAGGAAACACTTTCAGGGAAATAACAAAAGGGCCGAACTGGATGAAAATCAGCAGCAGATGTTCTACAATCAGAAAAAAGAATCCTACATTTTCAACCCTACCGTGTCCATTAAAGCAGCAGCAGAAACAGAAACCCTCCATTCCTAAACCAAGACACCAGGCAAGATTCTTGACAGCACACTTGATAAAAAGTTGTCGCTCTGTTTATTCTGGGTGGAGAAAAACAAAGAACAAAGCAAAAAGGCTCCGTCCAAATGGCTCAGCAGGCTAGCACAATGACCTTTTTCTCTTGTTTCACTCATAAGCCACTACAACAACTGACTCGATGTAACAGCAGTCTCCCTTTCCTTTTAAACCTCAAACATTCTGTAATTCAGTTTAAGACTTTAATGAACAAGGATCTAGTATAAATGATTTTTTTCTGATGGGCTCCTTCTCCCATTCCAAGGGGCAGAGCCCATGCTGGAGCTGTCCCCACACTTGGGTGGCTCTACAGGGGATGCTGGCTCAGACCCTTCTCTGCAGGTACCAGAAGCACCCAGCATTGAAACAACTTGCCCTGCTTACTCTGAAGGCAGAGTTTAGAGCACGGCTTCATTGAGTTTTCTTTTCTTGTGGGAAAAAGGTATACTTTGCAGGGTTAAACTCTTCCCAAATACGCTCAAATTCTTCCAGAAAAAGCTTCACATACTCCTCATCCTCCATAATCAGAACGTTCTCTCTGTTGTTCTGGATGGCTTGGGTGGTCCAGTTGAGTGAGCCAGTGATCAGCACCTTCTTGTCCACGATTGCAAACTTGTGGTGCATGTAGCCCAAGTCTTGATCGTGCCGAACCTGAATACCTGCAAAAATGGCAAATGGACCTGTCACTGCTGCCTGGGACAGAGATGATCTCAGTCAAATACCCGTGCTCCTCCTCACCTGCTGACCAGTTTCTAGCAGCTATGAATTGTGCCATCTGTTTCCAATTTGGCAGGCAAAGGAAGAAAGCCACGCTTGACAGGGAAGCAGTGGTTGAGTTGCAGGGCTCAGATGGTGACCAGTCCTGCAGGCCAGGTCACAGGCGGGACTGCCAGGAGCGGGGGAAGATCGAAGAGGGCTTCAGCCTGGGCACGGGCACAGACAATGGCCTGTGCAACGTGAAAGGCAAGCACACCCAGGAGAAGTCGTCTTCTTGTAGGAGCAGCCCTGAGGGGGATGACAGACGGGAGACCCCAGCAGACATCTGTTCCTCAGCCTCACAGATTTTCCCCTTCTTAACATCACCCAATTTCCTTTGAGATACAGCCCACCCACACCTCTGAAGTCCATACCAGTCAGCCCCTTCCATCCAGAGGTCCTGGGTCCCAGCTGTATATTTCATCTTGTCCCAGCAAAAAAAAAGTGCAGGGCTTCCGTGCTATGACACTCTCCCTTTTCCAGGGGACCAAAGGGGCCCCCTCGTAAGCCTCATGTCCTCATACTACTAAGGCTGCAGCTGCTGCCCCCTGTTGTTACCCCAAGCCACGCCTACGCAGGGGGGCAGGCAGGGCGAGCCAGTCCGGTGAAGCCCAAGCGAGGCAGTAAAACAAGCCTCACCTGAGCTTGACAGATGAGTTAAGATGATAGTTTACTGCACGTTTTATCTGTAATCATCTGCTGTGTGATGGCTTGTCTCTCTCCCACTGTTTAAAAGCTCCTCTAGGCAGGGACCTAGGCTATGTTGCTCACTACGCTTTCAGCACCTAGAATAATTCCCAGCTCAGAAGTGTGATTTAAAAGGACAGTTTCAAGCAGGCTTCATTGGAACAGGGTTGTCAGATTTTGCAAATAAAAGTACAGGATGCCAGTGGTGAAGTCACTTCTGAGGTTCACCATTCAGCCAGGGACTGGAGAGCCCCATAAAACAAAACGGGACTAGTGAGGCATAGCAGTCCAGGGACAAGGACTAGAAGGCAGAAGAGGATAGGAAAGCTGGTGATAGGGAACCCAAGGTTGAGTAAGGACAGTGTTGACACGTAGTGGGGTTGTTAACCACTGTCATAGGGCAACATGTGTACTGTTTAATGAGAAACTATTTTGTTCTGTAAACCTTCATCTAAAGTGAGAATAGCAGCACAACTGGAAGAACATAATCGATGTCACTGAATTGTGCGTG